ACTTTGTTATGACTTAATCAATGAAAAATGAATAGACAAAGTGTTGCTGAGCTGTTAACTCAGGCTCAACCTCCAATATATCAGTCACTCAACATATGGTGAGTCACTTTGAGCATTATTGCTACCACCAATAGTTACTAATGTTACCACTGTATATAACAGTTATCATTTACTTAGGGATTAAATGTCCAAGTGCTAAGTATGCTACATATATTACCTCATGTGATCACAAACTGAGAAGAAAATATTATTATGCCCAATTTATAGATGGGAAAAACTGAGGCCCAGAGAGATTGTAAACTTCCTCAGGGTGCCACAATTAATGTTCAGAACTGATTCATATACAAGTCTCTGATTTTAAAGTCTCTGTGAGTCAATCTTTCCAGCCCTCAGCTTCCCCATTTATAAGATAAGTAAAAGTGGTAAGAGTAGACAATCTTTAAGGACTTCCATAATAGACCTGGATAATTTCCTTTCTATTTAGCAAATGCTAACACATCTTTGATTTATACTTTTACAAATACAGAAAAGAAATCTCAACCACTTCTTTTAATAGAGCAGAAATGGACTTAAACTTCCCAGCAAAGTTTCATTTTTGAATATTCTCAGAATGATGAAGTGTTTCAATCAGTAAACTGGCGGCTTAGACAAATGCTATTTATGTAAAGAGAAAACAATTAACTTAATTTAGAATGTGGAAGGATAAACATTATTTTAATGCATAGACATACTGCCTTTAGTTCTCCCTGAAGGATTGCTTTGAGTTTGTTTATAAAATGATAAAATTCTGTCATTTTAAATTATTTGAGGGGCTTACTTCACAGAGAATAAAATTTTACACTGTTATTATTCAGCTGGTATTGTTACAGACTGCCTATAATATAATGGGATTAATGAGGCTATCATTTTTGTTTTTTATTTTCTTCTACTTTCTATTGTCATTTTGTTCAGCTTTACATACAGAAACTTCCCTATTCAAAAGTTTGCACTATTTTAAATGGTTTTATGTAATTTCTTTAACAAACATATACTCATTGACCACTTTACGCTATGAATTGTTCTAGATGTTGGGGAACAGCAATTAAAGCTGCCTTCATAGAATTTATGTTCTAATTAATAAATACTCACTTTTTAGTAATAACTAAGTAGACAATTTTATAGAAATTTTACCTTCTCTATAAAATCTTTCTTGAGAAACCTGGATCATATTTATCTCTTTCCTTCTAAACATTTATACATTGTTTGAATTAGAACATTTGAATATTCTGGCTTTATATTTTTCTTGGACACAAGTCTTAACTTCCAAGTCAAATAAACTCCAGGAGGGTGAGACTATGTATTAAAAATTTATATTCTCTCTAGCAGGGCACATCCTTGTACTGTTTCTTTATGTCCTCAGGTATTTCTTTGAGATCAGTATCTTAAAGTTAAATGTTGTGTTGAAAGATGGATACATTTCCATTGTAATAGATACATTTCAATTATAATACTACCAATTGACCACAAATAAAGCTACACTAATTCCTACCCACAATTTTTGTGGGTACCCATTTTCTCTTGTCGTAACCATCAATAGATGTAAACTAGCTCTTATTTTTCTTAATATAAGAGAAAAAACAATCTCACTTTAATTTGCATTTCCTGATTACCTTTCATGTTTTATTAGGCATTTGTAGTTCTTCCACAAATTTGTATTTTTATCCTTCCCTTTTAACATTGGGGTTTCTATGGTTTAGTTGTTGATTTGAAGAAGTCTTTATTCATTTTGGGCATTAATTTTAAATTTAATGTTGTATATATTAGTCATAATTTGTGATGTGCACACTTAGTGTCCTGCATAAACATATTTAGTTTATGCTATCAGCGCAATGATATTTTTTAAAAATCTGTTACCCATTTCTTCCCTTAAAACATAGTTTATATCCAAAGCATTACAGAACAAAGCAGCTTATTTTATACATCTGCTCAAACCAAGGGGCTTCAATGATGGATTTTTTTTCAAGAATGCTGATTCCTTTCTGAAATCACTTAAAATCTATTTAGGGTGTATATCCCACTTCATAGATGATATAATGGAAGAATTTCTCTCTAGCCTAACAAAAATTTTATTACAGATTTCCAGCCCTAATAATGTCCTCCAAACTGCGTAGCATCTTGACCCTCCTCCACTTAGGCCCAGTTGTCACTATAACATTTTAGGAATTCAATTATGGACTGAATTGTCAATGAATCACCATATTTTAGGAAACCTAAAAACTATTGGATTCTTTGACAATGCATTTCCCAAATCAAATTGCTCAAACTTCTTCCCCTCTCCATATGTTCTATCCAAGCTATGAGAGTATCTATTTCATGCATAGTTCTCTGTCCTTTGGAGTTAAATCCCTATGAAGTCAGTTCCATATCACATTATAATTAAAATCCATGTTAGCTTGTGTCCACACAGCCTGGAGCAGCACTTCTACCTCAGTGCCTATCCTGCCTCAAATTCCATCGAAGAAAAGCCAGACTCTGCATATATTACCCCACTGTGCAATATAGTGTGGTTTGTGTTCAGTTTCCTAAAATTGATCCCACCCCAGGTTTTTTCTCTTTTTTCTTTCTTCTTCCTTCCTTCCTTTTGCCACCCACCTCCCTCCTCTTCTCCCCTCCTCAATTTTGTTTCTTCCTTTCCTTTCCTTCCCTTCTTTCCCCTTCCTTCCTCCTTCTCTTCCTTCCTTCTTCTCTTTACTTTATCACAGACGATTTAGTCTGTGATTCATGACTTCCCACCCAGCACTGAGAACTTCAAGGTCTACGTAGTCCACAAATAGTCAAGCTGGACCGCTAAAGCTTCTGCAGAGAAGACACAACAAAGCAGGATATACTACACAACATCACCATCTACATACCTATTAAATCTCTTATTTTGCTGTACTAAAAACCTACTTTTAAATATTTTAGTGCAGGAGCTCTGTTCCTGGCAGGTTCATACTGGATTTGGTGAGACTGAAAAACAACAAGGTTATAGGATTCATACCCAGCTTTCATTACTGTGGTGGCTAGTCAATTGCTTAGATTACACCTGCTGCATCTACAGGCAGCAAGTCTGCGATCCACAATGCACAGTAGGGCAAAAGGCAGAGGTCCTTACATAGAAATACAGACAACAGTAACCCTCTGCGGACAATTACCCAAGCCTGCACATGCTCAGTAGAAAGGAATGAGGTCATGACGCGTATGCACTGAGGAACCATGAGACAATATGGTGCAGTGCCGCGTGGGCAAGTAGGTGAGGGTCAGGCAAGTATTCTGGCCATGGGAACCCCATTTCTAACAATCGTATGTGTCTAGGAGGTTAACCACAACTCCACTCTTCGTTTCATATGATTTGTATTGGTCGTTTCAAGTACAATATTAGAAATTCAGGGAAGCAAAATAACTGATTTATAGCATATACCTTAAGTGAAAATACACAGTTCTGTTTCAACACTGTGGCATATTTATATACTGGGAATGTTTCAATTAATGCTAATCGTTTTTTCTTGATGTTCTAAATTGTCAAAACTTATCCACTAAAAGTTTTCTTTTCAGGTTGACAAAATTGTCCATTTTACAACCGAGAAATTACTCAGTCTCCCAGTTTCTGAAAACAAAATGTTCCAGTGTGATATTTATTTCTCATGTGCCAAGACATGGGACCAATTATTCTCCAAGTGGCTGTCAAGAGACAGTGTTGAAGATTCACTTCTAGGCACTGTAAGCATAAATCTCGATGTTAGGCAAGTGACCTTAAAAGAGGAAATACTTAAATCACTTTATTAACGAAGCGGGAAATCTCTTTTTATTGTAAAGGTCATGAGTTCATGTTGATGTTTCCATTTGACCTTTACTTTTAAGAATTCTTTTTTTACTTGATGTAATAAAAAATTTTTTTAAATAATCTTTCTGGTTAGGACTAACAGTCTATGACTGAATATACTATATACTGTTACACTAAATCATGTTGTTAAATTCAATAGGAAACAATTTTCATTGATTTTTTTCTCTCTTTTCTCAGATTTCTGGAAACGATTAAAAATTATACAGTCCTGATGATCTTTGTCATCCATATCACCTAAGAACACCACCAAATGTCTGTGGTCTCACACATACACACATAAACACAGCCTCTACTTACCCTATAGCCAGCATTGACTTCTAAGGTTTTGTTTGAAATTCCAGTGTAGCTTTGTGTAATCCAGTCCCACTATTTAAGTTAATTTAGTTTTTATAATTTTCCTTTGTTTATGGCATTAGCTAGTACCATTGTTCTATTTTGTTGCAGGTGATTTGGTTCTGAACTCCCTTTAATATAGGCATGTATTTCTTTCTTTGTTATTGCTTGAGAGACAAACTATTCAAAAGTATCACAAAATATATTTAAATATCAAAAATTATAAATATATATATATACATTTGTATATGGATAGTACTATATAGTATAATCTGAAAATCTCCACTGAGTGAGTTACTATAACTCCAAGGGGTAAATATTTTCCCAGCCTGTGGCAAAATACCTTTGGAACCAAAATCAGTCAAAGAGAGAAATGAAGTGGGAGAAACCCATTTATTGCTTACAAACAGTTGTCCACTTCTGCTTGCCCTTGTCTCTCTCAACTTGGCTGCAAAAAGGGACTCCACCCAACCTCTCTGGTCCTCACTCCCCTTTATAATTACCTATTGATATGGAGATGGATTATTTCTCTCCACCCCTTGGAAACACCTATTGATATGGAGATGAACTAAGGCCATGCAACAGATTCTGAAAATATTGCAGTTTTCCCCACAGCCCACCCCTCCAGAAATCTCTCCTCACAATCTAACCACTCCTCATCTTCCACAATGACCCCTGTGTAGGAAAACTGGAGCACTGTAACCAGACTAATAACATACAATAACAGCATTAAAATCATGGTAATCCTCAAGTTGGAGGATTCAGCTAGGTTCAAAGTCTTATGCAGATCAAGTCCATAGCTCACCCATTCCACAGGCAGTTAGAAGCTGAATAGGTAGGGAGTTCAAACAATCATCACACGGCCGCTGCAGCCAGGAGGCAGGTCCAAACCACAGAGACTGTAGAAGAAAATAACCTTAAGGTTGATAAGATACATGTTTTAATGACACCAGCATAGGCAAATCTTACCCATCAGGTAGTATGCATGTAAGAGAGTGGTCCTATAATAGGATAATGGCAGGAATTGGATTTCATCCTGGTCTAGTATACCAGACTTTCAACCCACTCCCTGTGGGAATTACAGATGGGTCAATATATAGGTTTATGGGAGTAGGTACATGCACTGGCCATAAAGATAAAACAAAACTTCCCATAGAATGCTCTTACCTCCCAAATGTTTTGGGTACACTACCATGATCTTTGAGGGCCGCACTACTGTTACTCCAGGAATACACAGGCTTTTCCCCAAGATGCCATCTTCCAGACCTTGTCGACAAGGTGCCAGAAGGGCCAGCCATCACTGGTCCATGTGTCAAAATGTCCTGGGACACATCCACCCAACAGAGTCTCCAGGGTTTAAGGCAGTTGGTTTGGCAGGAGGAAGTTGCTCTGCTGGCCGTATCATGACTTCAATAAGTCCTCTTTGGTTTGCACATACAGTTGCATTGGAGAGGCAGCAATGTGTGTTAACTTGTCCACAGGGCTCAAAGCTCCTTTCTGGGGCTTCTCATTCAAATACTGTATCACTGTCCATAAGCAAACTGACCTGTAGACAATTAGTGTCTGACTTCAGGCCAGATTTCAACAAACCATTGTACCTTTCTGTCATGCCTTCCCCAGTAGGGTTATTTTGCTCATGAAACTTCCACTTTATTCTGAATTGCTGCACCCATTCTTGTAATACATGTCATATAAAGTGGGTGCCCTGTTTGCTCTCAGTCATCTGTGGACAGCCATAGGCTACAAAGAGATGCATTAGACCCCTTTGGGTATTTGCTGATCTGCATGATGTGCAGGTAAAGAAACCAATAGTCTAGTAGCTGTGTCCACACAAGTCATGGCATACCGATATCCTTCTGATATGGGCAGAGGCCCAGTATAGTTTATCTGCCACCTGGCAAGGGGTATTGGCCCTTTACTGTTGTCCCATGTTGCTGTGGGACTCAGTGTAAGTCCCTCTTAGAGCACTCCTTTTGGGCTCTGATGACATCCATGTGGCCAAGTCCTGTGCTACAAGTCCATGATAACTGGTGGGACTGTAGAGGTATCCCTGTAGAAGGACACTGAATGTCCACTGCTGGCCTTCTCACATGAAGGCAAATGGTTACTGACTTTCCTGTGCTATGTCAGTAGAGAAGAAAGCATTAGCAAGATCCACAACATAATGATACATTCCTAGTTCATGACTGAGGGTGTCCATAAGGGCTGCTATAGAGAGGAGAACAGCAGGCAAGTGGGGTGTGACTTTATTCAATTCCCTATAGTCTATGGTCATATGCCAGGAGCTGTCTGGCTCTTTCACGGGCCACACCTGGGATTAAAAGGACTATGAGTGGGCTTTATAATGCCCACATTCTTCAATTCCTGCAGTTTCTCCAATTTCCTGGTTCCCCCCCCCCAGGCAATTTATACTGCTTAGTATTTGTCACCTGCCAAGCTACATGCAGAGCTACAGGTGGTTGCTTAGCATGTCCCCTCAGAACTTCCTTTACCACATGTACCCTCAGTCTGAACTCACCTGCAGTGGTCTGTAACCACAGATCCTGCAGGATATCTATCCCAAAAATATATTCAGGGATGGGAAAAATGTACACAGTATACTCCTTTGGGGGTAAATGCCCTATGCCCAGTGGATTTAGGGCTTTCTTCACTCTAATTACCTTATCCCCATTGCCATCTATCACATCAGGGGGCCCAGGAAAATGCTCATGGTTGCCATAAATCAGAAAACACTGAGCTCCTGTGTCCACCAGTGCCAGGACACATTGTACATTCACAGGGGACCAATGAATTGCTAATTCGACATGTGGCCTCTGGTCCCCACACTGTCCCCCAAGTTGGGGGCCTTGATCCCCTGCTTCTGTCAAACCACAAAGCCCAGTCATCCTCCTTTCAGAGTGAGGGTCCATGTGGAACCTGAGTACTGTCCCCCAGAAAGTCATGCAGGGGCACAGGCCAGATATGGGGTTTTGCCTCTAGCTTCCATGTCCTGAAACTTAAGGGCTGGAACTGCTGCTCTGGCTTTAATTGGTGCCACAGTTCTAACAAGATCCTATTGGGCTGCCCATCAAGTTTTTCTTTCACTACTCCAGCCTTTATCAAATCAACCCAAAACTGGGTCCTAGAGACCTTCATGGGGCCCTTTGCATCTCTTCTTTCAGGATTTGGGTGTACTTCCTTCTGAGTTCTTATTGTTTCAACCTCACCCCTATCTACTAAAATATGAGTAGCCTAACTTATGGGTTGCCCTATGTGGGAGGCAAGAATAGTCACTAGGAATCCAAAAAAGAGATGGGGGAGCTGTATGGAGCACCAGATGTTTCACTCCTAAGGTCAACAACTAATCACTAGGGTCCTGGGGTCCATATTATAGATGATATTTTTCATGCCAAACTCCCATAACACCTGCTGAATCTCTGCATATGTTTTCCAGCTAGTGAGTAAGTATGGTAATACTTAGGACTGTCTAGGACAAACTGCCCTGATGGCTGCTGTCAGCTTATCTAGAAGCACCTGATTCCCTGAGGTGTGCTGGGCACATTGTAACTTCTGCCAGAGGGAAGAGTGAGTCATTAGGGAAGCCAGTCTACCCATTTCAGAACCCGACATAACAATGTTTTCCACCCCCATGTCCCAGAGACGCAAAGCCATGTAGACAGATGTTCTAATGGCTTCTGCCAAAGATGGACGCTGATGTCTACCAGCTTATCCTGGGCATCGGGGCAGAGCATGGAGTGCTCCACAGCCTGGGGAGGGGGTGGCTTCTCCCCAAGGATCCTGTAGCTGTTGCATTTTTATTTTCTTAATTACAATCTGGTGAGCCTTTAACACAGGAGAAGCTGGTGTCTCGAGAGGTGGCCTCAGCAACAGATCATCCCTTGGCCCCACTCCCTCATCCTTTCCCAACATCTTCTCTACCATCTCTGGGGCTGAAGGCACTGCTCTTTCCACCCCTGCCCCTATGGCCTCCTGCAACGTGGATTCTCCGGCTGCCTCTTCCCTTGCTGCTAATGTATCTTCCAGGAGTGCAAACTGTCTTCTCAATAGCTGTCTCTATTTCTTCAGGGCATCCCATAGCTCATTGCCCAGCTCCTCCAAGCAATGCTGAAGTGTGACTCTCTCATGCCAAAGTCTCTCTCTCTCCTTGATAACCTTTTCTACTATCTGAAAAACAGACATCCCACGACCCTGGCTGCTACATGGCCACTCAGCACCTCTAAGCAATCTTCTGTTTCTCAGAGGACTAAATTCCACAGCTTCTCGTGTCTCCACCCTTCCCCAATTCTGGGGGAGGCCCTACCCCTCTAGGACTTGCTTTTCCCTAGACCAGTTCTCCACTAGTGGCTCTCCAATTGGAAGCCCCACAAATGGGGGCTCCAAGGTTAAGTTGCACCCTAAACCACTGCAGCCACTGGGGCCTCCCCACCACCCACAGGGGGTGGTTCCAGGTATCTCCCCACCATCTCTAGGGGCAGTCCGCACAAGGGTCGCACCCACGAAGATAGATTTTGGGTTCAAAGGTCCTGCCAACAAATATCAAATGTAACTTCAAGGGAAAAATATCTTCCCTACCAGGGACTAAATACCTTTGAAACCAAAATCAGTCAAGGGGAGAAATAAAGTGGGAAAAACCCATTTATTGCCAAGAAGCAGTTGTCCACTTCTGCTCACCCATGTCTCTTGTGACCTGGCTGCAAAAAAGAACCCCACCCAACCTCTCTGGTCCAGATATACCCTCACTCCCCCTTGTAACCACCTACTGACAAGGAGATTAACTACTTTTCTCCACCCCTTAGAAACACCTATTGATATGGAGATGAACTGAGGCCTGGCAAGATATTCTGGAAATATTGCAATTTTATGCACAGTTACACAAAACAAATGCTGTAAATTCATTTATTTCCAATATTGACCATACTCTGTAAAAACTAACTCACAATACAAAAGAACTGATTAAAGCACATTTGCACACATGATTTTGTTAACTTTATAGATACTTAATATAAGCAATTCCCAGAACCTATGTAGCTTCTAATAGGTTAAATAAAATTAAATTACTGTCTGACACTTTAAAGTTTTTCATAGAATGAAATATGCCAAGAAGACATTTCCAATGCTGCATTCTATTGGAATGTCACACATATTGGAGATTACAGCCTGTGAAGGGTGGGAAGTGAGATCATGGGATCTGGTCACCAGGAAGTGATATCACCAAAAGTGAGACCAATGGAAATGACATCACCAGAACTGGAAGTGACAACAGCAGATAAAAGATCAGCCTAGAAATAGCATCATTATGAGCCTGTGTATATAAGCTGTGCTCGGAAATAAAACTGTGTCACTTGTCCACCACCAGCAGTCAGTGAACCTCCTGAGCCCAGCTTTGATTTCCCTGTCTTTCTTGTATTGTTCTCTGTGTTTTTCTTAATCTGCCATCCACTCCTCTCACGTTCAGCTGGTTTGTTGAGCCAGTTTCTGCAACAGCCCTCAAAATTAGACTAAATAATTGTTAATAGATTTTCCCATTTCAGTGTCCACTGGATGTATCCAATTCCATCCACTGAAATTCTTCCAGATTCATCCAGTCATGAAACTAGCCCCTCTCCCCCATTCTAACACATTACAAAAGGTGAAAATCTCCACCTGAGTGGGAGGCCATACTAGTACTGTATATTGTCTATAGTATCCTAGCCCACAGCTACATGCTCAGCTGGGCTTGCCGAGAATCTAGTGTATGACTTCACTTCTCCACTGCTTGTTAAACTGAGTTGTTAACTTCCTCCTTACTTCCCAGCAGCAGTTACGGTCAGATCCTACACTGAACCACAGATGTTTTACAAAAGTAGAAGGAGTTTAAGAAACTTGCTCAAGTCCACTCAAGTAGGAAGTAGCAGCCTGCTTCAACCCCACTCCTCATTGGGCACATCACAGATACCTATAAAAAGTAAAGAAATTTTGGAGATCTTCTTAAAAGAGGACAGTGAAAGAAGTCCACGTACCTCACTAGGGTCTTCTGGCTCAGTGGCATTTGATGATCCCATGTGTGGGAGTAACATGAGAAGAAGAGATTGCCTAAGAATAATAATAAAAACTTTGAGTAGTGAATAAGAAAATGTTAAAAATCAAGTGTGAGATCTCTCACAAGGGGAAATAAAAGTGTAGAAAGAATTAAGAGACTATATTGTAATATAAACTCTTTTTTATACAGTATACAATAGTTTATATAATTGTATATATAAATATGTTAGTTTTTAACCCTGCTTTAAAACTTGTATTATGAAATGGTTTTGCAAATCCTTAAATCTTTTTTCAAGTGTATTTTTAAGTACTCTCCATGACCAGCTACTTATTATCCTTTATCATAGAAGTTTTTCTTATGCTCCTTCCTAAAAATAGGTCTTTATCACCTTAGCATTGTATTTAGCTGCTGCTTTGTTTGCAGGGTATCTGTTGCCCCACTAGACCATGATTGTGATTTCAAGCTCATAAAGAAGAGGCCCATGTCTCCAACACAATTCATTCTACCCAGTACATACAACACAGAGACATAGTAAGTGTTCAAGAAATATCTGTGAATAAATGAATGCATAGGTGACCCTGGGTATTCCTCTGGTTAGTCCCATTTTCCAGAGTTTTCAGTGTCACTCTCATGACTTTCTGTTGGGCCATACTTATATCAGGCTGGTCTGGAACAGGTTTCTGTGAGCCTGAAAAGCTCTCCTTTCTCTTCTCCGGCTTAGTTATATAAACAGTGAGATTTTAGGACTCTTCCAGATTCTCACTCCAGTGTAAGTAGATTACTATCTGCAAACTGAAGGGCACTTAGCCAGGTGTTTATAGTTTGACAAGTTCCTGTGGAAGAGGGATTTATTCTTTTTTCTTTTATTGAGCAGGGGGCCATCTTGGCTCCTGTATTAGTTAATATGTTGTTATATTGGGATATGTGTGGACCTCAGGATTTAGTTCTATGTGAAATTCAGTTTATTTCAAGGTAAAAATCATCTGATGCCTACTATGTGTCGAGGAGGGGCAAGATTTTGAGTTACATTAAAGCAATGGCACGAATCCTGCTTTCAAAGAGTTGTTTTATCTTGCTATACACAAACTTTGAAGGAAATAACTAAATTTGCTTGACAAAAGAGTTTTTTGCTTTTCTGACTCTGATCTGAAAGAAGCTTATATTCCATAGGAAATTTATTTGACTTTGACATGTAGATAATATATGTGTTTTCATTTGAAGAGAGAACTTTCTTAAACAAGCTCCAAGGTCAAATAAGACTGGTTGCTGATTCGTCTTGATGTTCTCGAGCAAAATAGAGAGATTTCATATTTAGTTCTTGACATGCCTATTGGGATATATTAAAATGTAGTAATACACCATTTATTCTTTGAGCATACTACTGGAAATTTTTATTTATGAGTCCCTGGGGTTTAGCAAGACTTTCAGAATTCACTGTGACGTGTTAAGGGCCCTCTGAGTTTCTGGAAGAATAAAGTCCAATTTAGGCTTATGATCTGTAGAAACTTCCTCAGTCACAGTTCCATTAGACACAGATGACAACCTTCTTACAGCAGACAATGAAGGCCTTCCTCTGAAGGCTTACTGGGTAACAGCAGACCAACTGCTAAAAGATATGAACAGCAATTTGTGGAAGAAAACGCATGTGCTGGTAAAAATCAAGGAACTAATATACTACAATGTCACAAATATATTTCAATAAAAGCTGAGCACTCACATTTAAATGCAGGGGCTGCTTGATATATTAACTTGAATTTTTGCAAATTACATTGCCATGCATAATGAGGTCCAAAGTTGTTAAAGTTTTTTGAGACATGTTTACTATGATTCTTGCACCAATATTATGCCACAGGATTTGATAAAGAGTTTCCATCAGAAGGACATCTTTATCATTATAAAGCATTTTTTTCCTATAAATTAATTTTTTTAAAGCTGAAAGGTGGCCCTTTAAGAACGATTATGTGATTAACATTCCTTGGTTAGAGTCTTGCACTTTATGCAGATGATAATACCAAGTTTGGAGTGCTTGGAGAGTGCCCTTCCATGCTTATCTTTTTAAATGTTTGCTGAAATGAACTAAAAATCAAGTTCACTATGTTAATATCCAGTCTGTGTGGTTCAGCCTCCAAGCTACAAAACTTTCAATAAGCCCTGTTACACAGCCAAATGTAATTAAAGAATAATTCCATTTTTACTAAATCTCATCAAGATCATTAGAGGAATACAAATGTACAGCATTACTGTTCCTGTTATCTATTATTGCATAATAAAGCATCTCAAGATCCATGGCATAAAAAAACACTCATTTTATTATGCTCACATGTTCATGGGTTAGGAATTCAGATGGGCTGAACTATCTTTTGTCTGCTCCAGTGACTTTGTCCTCGGCTGGCTTTGGACTAGAAGCTTCTTTATTCTCATATCTGATCCCTGGGTTGGAATGACTTGAAGTCTGGGCCTAGCTGAGATTGCTGACAGGGGCACCAAGTTGCTACCTCTCTGTGTACTTCTCATAATTCAACAGCCATGTACTGACAGAGCAGTTGGGTTCTGAGCAGCTGTTCTAAAAGAAACAGGTGGACGCTGCCTAGTCTTTCCTGACCGAGGCTCAGACATGACTGGGCATCCCTCCCATTGTACTCTAATAGTCAGACAGCAGTCATAGCCTGTTCAAGTTCCAGAGGAGTCCATTTGTTCCCCCTCTTAGTGGGGAAATGTCAAGTTCACCATTTAGAAAAGTACGTGAGAAGTGACAATTTGTAAACATTTTCAGAAAATGTGACTTGCCACAATTAGATGATACTCTCTTTCTTCCCCAACTATTGCCCGCAGATCCTTCAGTTACTCCACCACCATATTCATCAGAAAAGAGTCCTCTGGGTTCCCACTGGTTGGCCTGACTTCCTCTTTTTCTCCTAATTACTTTTCTCTTCCTTAGAATTTTATCATGTAGATCATTTCAACCTCTACCCTGAAATCATTCTCAATTTTCTGTACTCTTTAAATTTATGAACCCTTTTCTACACCTTTTTTTTTTCAATTTGCGACTTTATAAGAACCAAGGAATCTAGCTAAAGTAGCAAACATTGTCATACTCAGAAGCGGGAAGGGAGGGAGGGAGAATAAATGGAGTAATCAGAGTTCAGATCCACTTTGGCTTATACAGAGAGAGGGAAAATTTTTCTGGGAACAAATACGTCCCCACTCAAGGCTGCCCCCTTTCCCCTTTCAAGACAAAACGAGTAGTATCAGTCACCACCGCCTTTACCACACCTAAAAGAAGCACTAGGTCGTCTCCAGCTCCTTGCTCAGCCCTCTTTTACTCTCTCTGGTAAAGTTACTTTTTGGCAGCCCCACACCTACCCTGCGCCACTGGGGAGAGATTTTGCAGAGAACTCTCTAGTCATGTTTCCAACCTGGCTCTCCTCCAACTAAGAGATCACCTGTCACCTAACTGGGATCATTAAGGGGAAGTCATGAGTTGATTGCTGCTTTCTGAGTCCATCTGAGGCCTACACGTTATGAAGGGATCCTATTACTCAACAGCTGATAATACCACCTCATATTCCTAAACCCTGAAAATCTTCATTTTTTTTTT